TCAAAGATACTGAAGAAATAAGAGCTAATACCATCTCAAATCCTCCGCGTAGGGTGATTTTGCGACGTTTAGTTCTAAACTTTCAAATTGATCATTTGTAATTCTTCGACTTTCAAATTTAACCATTCGTGGTCCAAGTTAACCACCCGTGGTCCTTCAACTATTAAATTTTAACCAACCACGGTCCTTTCAAGAGAACCACGACTGGTTAAATTTCTAAAGTTGAAGGACCATGGGTGGTTAACTTGGATCACGAATGGTTAAATTTGAAAGTCGAAGGACTACAGATGGTCAATTTGAAAGTTTAGGACTAAACGTTGCAAAACCACTATACTCGGAGGACCCCATGTGGCATTAACTCGAAGATATTTTTTTTTGAAAATTTTCTGCGGTGCTTCATTAGAAAAATGCTGAAATAATGTCTGGTGGGTGAGTATCCCAGTACATAGTATCAGGTTGCTGATAAGCCGTAGTGGCTAAAGCATGAGCTAAATAATTGTCCGATCTAGAAATATAATTAAAAGAACATGAGTGAAAATAAACGGCAATTTGCCTGCAGCTATCAATGGCATAGCCAACGTAAGAGCGAAACGCAGTGGTTGATGATGTAAGGTAGCGTTGTTGTGTCAAACAATCCGTGTAGATCTCAATATTCTGTTCACCTCGATCCTTTAGCCATGATAAAACTTCCTTACACGCCAAAGCCTCAGCCATAAGTGGTGACGTACAGGCCGGTAGCGGCGCGGTTAGTGCCGAGATATAGGCTCCATCTCCATCTAATAAAACGGCCCCTACAGTTGCATTCCCTGTCTCGTGTAGATATCCGGCATCGACCCTGCATCTTCTCACTGGCGGCACAGAGGATCCGGCGGCGTCGGCAGCACCGCGGCCGGCGGTGGGACTCGCCTGGGCAGCGTGGCGGTTTTCTGTCGGCAGCGTAGTAGTGGCAGTGGCAGCCACGGCTGGGCGGGACTGAGTCCATGCGGTCTTGGCTGCCGCTGCGGCTCTGAGTAGGGACCCCGGGCGTGGTAAAAATGCCTCCCAAACTGCACCATTTCGAGCTTTCCAAATATTGTATAGAATTGATGCTGCATATAACATTCCATCAGAATCTAAAATATTTAGAAGTTCCCCAAACCAAACATGAAAAATATCCGTGACAATATTGGGGATTGTAAGGTTGGATTGATCCCAAATGTTTCTTGCAAAATCACACAAGACTAATGCATTCATTGTATTCTCATGTGATATCCCACACATAGCACAATATGGGTTCACCTCCACCCTCTTTAAAAGCAAGTTCGTAGTTGTAGGCAAAATATCACAAATAGCTCTCCAGAGGAACATTTTCCACTTTGGTGGAATTTTTAGTCTCCATAAAGCTAACCAATTAGTAAAGGGGCCTTGATTATTCTCATAATCTCCCACCAATCGTCTGTACCCGCTTTTCACAGAATATAATCCTCTCGGGTCCCCGTACCAATACCATGCATCATTATAATCCCGGGATACAGGTACTCTCATAATTCTCTCGACATCCGTAGGTTGAAATAAATCTGATAAAATTCCATTATCCCATGTACCAGTTTGTTGATCTATTAGCCCCACTACTCTGGCCTCTCGTAACTGTATAGGCATCTCTGTTTGTATCATAGGGTCCTGGTCATCCAGTAACCATGGATGGGTCCATATAGATGTAGTTTCCCCATTCCCAATTCTTCGTCTGACCCCACTACAAATTATGCTCTTTGATGCCATTATACTCCGCCAACAAAAACTGGGATTATTTCCTACCTGCGCATCAAAGAAAGTATCCCTGGGAAAATATCGGCTTTTGTAAACACGAGCTACTAAGGAATCAGGCTTAGTGAGCATTCGCCATGCCTGTTTCCCCAACATAGCTAGATTAAATGCACGTAGGTCCTTAAAACCCAATCCACCATACTTCTTAGGAACACATAGCTTGTCCCAAGCCTTCTAGTGAACTCGGTTGTCCGTCCCAGAACCCCACCAATATCTATTCATCGTTCTTTCTATAGCCGTGCATACTGATATAGGTAGCAAAAAAACACTCATTGAGAAGGTAGGCATAGATTGTGCCACACTTTTCAACAGTATTTCTTTCCCTGCCTGAGACAATAGCCTTTTATTCCACGACCCAATTCTTTGGCGTATTTTATCCTCAATATATGCAAAAGCTGCCTTTTTATTCCTACCCACAAACGAAGGTAGACCCAAATACTTGCCAAAGTTTGGTGCCTGCTCCACCCCCAAAACTTGGGCCACACTTTCCCTATCCACATTACTCGTATTCCTGCTATAACAAATACTCGACTTGTGGTAGTTAACCACCTGTCCCGATAGATCCTCATATACAGTCAGGCATTTCTTTATCTCATTAGCCTCTTCCACATTAGCCTTAAAGAATAAAAGGCTATCGTCCGCAAAAAACAAATGAGAAATCTGAGGGGCACCTCTTGCTACCCTACATCCATGAATTAATCCCGCTCTGTTAGCCTGTTGTAGTAACAACGAGAGTCCCTCTGCACAGATAATAAACAAATATGGGGATAGCGGGTCTCCCTGTCTCAAACCACGCGTGGGTATTATTGGGTCACTCCTTGAGCCATTTATCAGAATACTATAGGAGACTGTGGTCACACATTTCATAATCAAATCAACCCATCTATCATGGAAACCCAATGCCATCATCATATTACGGAGAAAAGGCCACTCCATTCGATCATACGCCTTAGCCATATCCAGCTTAAGTGCACCCCAGCCCCTCAATCCACACTGTTTTCGATTCAGAAAGTGCCCCACTTCTGCAGCTAATAGAATGTTATCTGTTATCAATCTATCTGGGATAAAAGCACTCTGTGTCTCAGATATTATTCCTTCCATCAAAGGCTTCATTCTATTAGCCATCATTTTAGCTATTATTCTGTAAATGACATTGCTAAGTGCTATAGGGCGCAAATCAGTTACTAACTCTGGATTACTCTTTTTAGGGATCAACACAATATCTGTCTCATTCAAGCCAGACGGGAGGTCACCTGACTCAAGACAGTTTAGCACAAAACTCGCCACATCCCCTCCTACCACATCCCAGAAATGCTGATAAAAACCCGGATTCATTCCATCCGGTCCTGGTGCTTTATCCGGATACATTGCAAACAATGCATCCTTTACTTCCTCCAGATTAAATGGCCGTAATAGTGAGTCATTCTGCGCCTGTGATACCCTGGGTTCTATCCCCCCAAAAAAATCATCTCCAGTTCCCGGACCCCCAGAGCTGAAAATATTCTTAAAATAGTCCAGAATGATATCTCTCATGGGATCCCCCTCCAACCAATCCCCATTGTCATTCATTAATCTAAGTAAAGTATTCTTTTTCTTTCGGTGAGAGGCATACCTGTGAAAGAATTTGGTATTGGCGTCAGCTTCCTTGAGCCAGTGCTGCTTGGCCCTCTGCCTCCAGTATGCATCCTCCTGGGCCTCAGTGCGACTCAGAAGTTGCTCTATTCGCTGAAACTCGACAAGAGAGGCCGAGTCAGTGCATCCTCTCAAACGTTGTTGATCCCGTTTCAGCTGCACAATCTGTTTCCCATACTTATGGAACCGATCCCCACCCCATCGTGTTAACCGGTTTCCACAGTATTGAACACAACCCTGTAAACCCTGCCCTCTCCCTTCCTGCCACGCCTGCTCCACCACACCCCTACATCCCTCATCATATAACCATGCCATCTCAAACCTAAAACCCCTTCTTCTAACCTCATCCCTCCCTACCTCCTCCTGAACTGTGAAAAAAATGGCTGAATGATCTGACTTCCTGGTTCTCAAATTCATAACCTTTACATGGGGAATTATATTGCGCCACTCGTTCGTTACTAGGACCTTATCAAGTCTCTCCTCAATCCAGTTTGCAGTCCCTTTCCCCTTCTCCCAGGTATATGGGTATCCAATCATTGGCAACTGGGCCAATCCACAATCCTCAATCGTCTCCCCAAAACCTCGAAGAAGGCTATTCGGATGTGGATTTCCCCCTCTCTTCTCATACTGGTATAGCAAATCATTAAAATCCCCCACCACCACCCACGGGAGATTCGATTTTGCCGCCAACATTCTCAACAAATCCCATGATTCAGCACGCCTATTACGGTCCGAATAACCATAGTAACACGTCATTCTCCAGGCCGGATGACCTGTCATAGTTACCTCAATATCAACGTAGTTTCTTGAGTAACTAAGGAGTCTCGCCGTATTATTCTTTTTCCACAATAACGCTAATCCACCACTCAAACCATCATTGTCAACATAAAATAAGCCTTCGAAACCAATCGTAACACGAAGACGCTCAGCATGATCTCGCGCTACCTTAGTTTCTATTAGAAATACAAAGTCGGGTTGCTTTTTGGACACCATGTCCACCACCTCTCGAACTGTCCGTGGATTACCCAAGCCACGGCAGTTCCAACTCAGCGTACTCATTGGGTTGGGCGGGTCTGTGATCCAGAACCCGCCGTAAACAAGTTTTTTGAGCCATCCACCATCGTCACATATGTACCATCCCCTCCATTCTCACGGCGGCGCTTGGCCACTGCCACCACCACCTCTTCGGTCGCGGACCTCTCGGCCTCCTCAACCGGGCTACTCCGTACCACCGGTCGGCGGCTCGGATTCCCATGCATCGGAAAGTCCTTCGGCTTTCCACCGAGAGGAACCAACCAAGGGTCCCCTATCTCCCGTGGCCCTCGGTTTCCTCCCACTCGTAGTTCCGCAGAGTACGGATACTGTTCCACCGGTATTCTTGCTTCCCGAGCCTTTATACAAAACTTATAGGAGTGACCCAGCATACCACAACAGAAACAGAAAGTGTGCAGCCTCTCATACCTGAAGTTAACCCAACATGTTGTCCTATCCCTCTTCAGCAATTTCATCCTTCTCTTAATCGGTTTATCAACCGGTATAGACACCCGAATACGATAATGCGTGATCCAAGGCTCCCCAATAAACCTCTCGTCCAGTTTGACAAAAGTTCCAATAAAATTCCCAACCTGCTCAAGAATCGGGATCCCCGTGTATCCCATCGGTAAATCATGCACTTGTACCCAGAGATCAATCGTATCCAGCACAACATCAATCGGCATCACACCATCCGGAACCCTCTTGCAAACTAACGAATGATTGTTAAACGACCACGGCCCCTCTTCCAGCACATACTCCACATCCGTCTCATGATAAAAAACAAAGAGGAACAGATTCGGTTGAATTTCCGAAACCTGAACCCCTCGTACCGGTTGCCAAACGGATGCCATGACTTGCCGCATATACTCTGCCTTAATGATTTTGTTCGTCAGAAAACGGCCCACAACGCCCCACGTCTGCTCCGTCACCGCCTGGCCACCGCCTTCGGCCATCCCTGCCGGCGCAAACACGGCATCCTCCTCCTCGTCTAGAACAATGTCCGCCCACCGTCGTGTCAGCGCCGCTACACCGTCCCCCTCCGTCGCTGCCATACGCACTTGCCCGCTGCGACTAGCGTCGCCAAACAGTGATGATCACCGGAAAAAACAATGGAAACCGTCGGAAACCTAGCAACCCCTAGGGGAGGAGAAAACTCTAGCAAACCCTAGAGAGTAATTTTTCAATTTTATTCAATAATTTGTAAAGTCCGGAGAATATAATTGTGTTGTATTCAATAATCCATTAACTCGAAGATATAAATTAGAAATGAGTTAATTAATGAAATGGTCCCTTGACTATAACGAAATTACCGATTTGGTTTTTGATTATTTTTTTTACCAATTAAGTCCCTCAACTTTAAAAATCTTAACTAATTTGGTCTTCCGTTTGTTTTGTCGTTTGACATCTATTAACTCGGGACCAAATTAGTCATTTTGCTACAGTCAAGAGACCATTTCGGTCATCACATGCACCATTTTCTCCAAAAAGTTATTACTAAAATCGTCCCTTGGGCCTTGGACTAAATTTGGACGGAGAAGCTGCTGGCTTCTCCATGAACAGAGCTTCTCCGCCGTTCATGGAGAAGCCATGGCAGCAGGCTGGGCAAGCTACCAGTCTGCCATGGTGTTTTTTTTTTTTTTTTAAATATATATATTTACAATATAATTAATTTATTTTAAAAAAATAAACTTAAAATATTAATTGACGTGGCATCTTACGTGGCAGGTGACTTGAAGGTAACATGCTATAATAGGTCAAATATGTTAATTGCACTATTTGAACTAGTTTAAGGGTTTAATTGAAGATTTTTTTAGTTCGATGGGCTAATTACACTTTAGTATATAATTGGAGAGTCTATTTGACCCTTATCCCTAAATATTTTGATTAATTAAGAAGAAATTAGAAACACGCTCAAAACTTGTTCTCAAATTAGAAAATCACGTGTGAACAGTAATCAGTCCTAGCATCGATTCCTGGCAGCGTATTTCTTCTTTCTTCCTCATTTTTCTTCTACTTCCTTTTGCACTTTCTTCTTCTCTTTCACACCCACCCTCTCACAGCTTCAAACTCGGCACCTTTCTCTTCTTCATCTACAGCGGTCAAACTCGGCGCCTTGGCAGAATGTCTTTTGTGTTGTGTTCGGCGAGAAGGGAATAAGAGATTTCTTATTTGTGTTCTGTGTTTTGTCCACTCTGTTGTCAGCAACTGGAAACTGCTTCTCACCTTTTCATGGAATGTCAACGAAGTAATTAAGATTTTATGGTGTGGACAGTTTGCAATTTTGCCTTCTGAGAATATACTGTTAATTACAAAGGTTGGCTGTCTCACGTAATGCATGCAGAGGATGAAGAGACTAAACGTACATAAATGTGTGGCTAAGAACTGGAGAATGAATACACCAACATAATTACAGAATCGGATTTTGTTACATTACAACTGATGTTAGTATATTGGATAAAATCAGTGACAAGCTTACAGTTCTACTTTTTACTTGAGCTCTCACCATTCATCTTCTTGAGGGAGTCAAACAAGGATGGAGTATGTTGGGTGTTTGATGACTTGGCAAAGGGATTAGAAGGGCGAACCACCGGCTTCATGCCATCAATTCCCCCATTGCTAACCTTCATCTTTTCCACCTTCTCTCCATCATTAACCTTCTTATGGCTCTTTAAATCTTCTGTTTTGATTCTCACCTCTCCTGCCTTCGCTGATGGAATAGCTCGGGTCTTTAAATCTTCTGTGCTGATTCTCACCTCTCCCGCCTTGGCTGATGGAATAGCTCGGGCTTGTGCAGGTTGTTCTGGCAATCCCGTTTTCCTTGTAGAGGAGGAAGGGGTTGTTGATAAAATGTGCAGTGTTTTACTGCTTTCTGGTGTAATATTGGACACAGCATTGGTTCTGAAGGAAGAGTGGTTCAGGTTTGACTCAGCTATAACGCTGCTCGCCATTGCTTCATTGCTTAAACGTTCCTGCAAGGATGGGTCACTCAATTGGATTATAATGCACATGGATCAAACCACACTAAAAGAA